GGTTGCAGGAAACCAAATAAAGCCGTTTGCGAAACATTTGCAATAACAAAGGCAGTACTGAGAAAAACAGACTAAGCGCTTTGTCTCTCACTATTTCAAAAATTATGTAACTATATATGTAACGAACTAAGATTAGGTGGAAAGTATATTCAGCAACAATCTGCAGGAGATGACTTAGAAGAGAAAACAAAAACTAAAAGAGCGGAATGCACAACAAAGGGAAAAAAACAACACGCATGTTCGAAAAAACTCACGTTGCGCCATTCAGCGCGTCATCTCGTCCGTAATAAGCGCGTGGACGCGCGCGGCAGCTTTCTTCTCTAATTTTTGGTGTGCGAAGTCACTTCTAGTAATGAAGCGCCTAGAATTTTGCTCTCCTAAGCGGAGTAAGCTTCAATTTAGTGGTCCTCATTGGGGTCCGCCTATCACTACATGACAGTGGAAGCTGCTAGCTCTGAATGTTTCCAAGCCGGTAGAAATATAGGGTGTCCCAAAAAATGCGAATCACCGATTCCTCTTGGTTACTGTAAAATTATGGTGAGGACTTCGAGAAGATTTCAGGCTTTGGAAACCATATTTTGTCTCAAAAATGAAAAGGCCAAAAACTCATACTGCTAATCTAAAGTCGCTAATATTAGATCTGAACTTTGCATTTTACTCTGATTGTTTCTTTCCTTAGTTTTTCAGTTCTTTCCTTAGTTTTTCAGGTGAACCGTAACAACTGTTTTTCAATGTTCGTCAGAATGTAAACTATTTAAGAAACTCAAAAACCCTCAAACAGTTGTTTAGTAAAATCAGCACTGGACCTTAGAAGTTCCTACCGTAGTCCTACAGTACCGAAAAACGAACCGGTAATTTGCTCTCCTGCAAATCTAAGCTGAAGTTAGATCTACAGAATGGTACCTGAAGACGGGCGAAATACATGGAAGCAGAGTTATCAACGACCCAGAACTGTGCTGAGTGGTCGACATGCTGATCAGGAATATTACATTTTTTGCGTGGAAGTGTCATCTGGTGGAGTAACGGTAACGATTCAAACACTAGATGGCACTATTGAGATAAACATGATATTTGCAATTGTTTTTAAGCTCTTTTTCTTAGTTTTTGATGCTTACTAGGACTCCGTTCATTCTGTGCCGTAAAATTTCGATTTTTGCTTTGGTGCCCAAAATCAAAAGACCAAAGAGGGAATCTCTTCAGGAGAAGAATGCCTTGAAGGCAGCGTGCACCCAAAATTTCGCCTTCGATGTTTTTGTCATTCTGGGGCCTTTCCGTGCCCCTGATTACAGTTATGACATTGAAATTCTCCAAAAACCCCAAAAAACCTCGATTCTTGGGGACCCTCTCTTCAGAGAGAGGACGAGTTTCGAATTGCTCGACCTCGTCGGCATGCCAGAGAGGAGTGGCTGCAACTGCATGACAGCCTGCACTTGCAACTGCAAATGCAGCGTACGCTGTCGTGGATTCGTCGTCCGAAGGAGGCGGACCGCAAGAAGCAACTGCATTGTTGCATCCTGATGTTGCGTTGCAACAGCAGGTGCAACTGCAACTGCATGCAACTGCATGCAACTTCATGCAACTGCAGCTTACGCTGTCGTGGATTCGTCCGAAGGCGGAGTGAAAGAAAAATTAGGCGGGTTTTCTCCGCTCAAAAGCAACATTGGAAGACCGGACCAACGCAGTTAGTTTTCTTCTGGGCCCTGTATATACATGGTGTAGAGAACTGGGTAACTTAACTTTTGAGTGTACGCTACCTAAGAGCAATTTCTGGAACAAATTTAATGTATGCTGGAGAGTTGCGCCAAGAATGCTCATCAAAAGGTATTTTTTGAGAATATTGAAACTCAAAGAATTTCAGCATAAACATGATCTGTCGTTGTTCGCATAAAATTCATAAGCGCAATGCGTCAAAGAACTTTTTCTATTTGAGATTAGGCCCAGGAACACTTAAAGTTAGAAAGAAATTATTTCAACTGTCAGCGGCGAACAAAACGGCGGATTTCAACAAATGCATTTTCTGCCGCCTTACCGAGAGCAAACCATAACTGAGTGGGTCCGAATTTTTCTGCAAAAAAAAACAACAGAGAAACCGCTTCGTTCCCTCTGATGGGGCGAGCAAATGTATATTTTGAAGTTTTCCATTCTTTTGTTCATTCTTTCGCCATTTTTTCAAAAAATTACAACTTTTGAAGGAAGAGCTCGATCTGCACAAACTTGACTCATTTAGTAATAAAATATCAGAAAAATTAGGATGTTCTGGATTTTATCGCACAGTTTCCAGATTTTTAGAAAGCTTGCTTACAAGGGAATGGTCAGAAATCGAAGCGGCCAATTCAAGCAAGCTGCATACCATTCGATGCAGCATAGAGTGCTGATTTCAGATCTGTCTTCCTTATCTGCAGAGCGCTTTTGTAGACAAAGTTATAAGCCGTTAAATGTCATCATTTTGCTAAGAAATTGTGCGTGTAAAGGTCAAAATTGGCCTTACAAAGCCATTCTCGGCTCAGTGTTGGACCAAAACGTGTAACTAGGTCAGCTCATATGGCTCGTACCTAAAGGTGAGCTAAAAGAGCAGTGATCTGCCTAATTTCACAGTTTTTGTGGACGACATTTCCGCAGTAAAGCTGCTCATAACTTCGCCCACAAAAGCGCTCTGCAGATACGGAAGACACATTTGAAATCAGCATTCTATGCTGCATCGATCGGTATGCAGCTTGTATGGATTGGCCACTTCGACTTCTGACCATTCCCTTGTTAGAAATTCCGAATTTTGGATTATTTCGTTCTTTCGTTTTTATCTCTGCAACCTGAGCATGTTGGAAAGTTTCTAGGGTACTTTTGGAAACTACATTCTTTGCGCTTTCTGGCAGTATTTAATTGAGCAAAACCGTTGTGACAAAGAAGTTATGATTTTTTGAAAATGGTGCGAACCAACTTCGTTTCAAAATAATAATTCTAAGCGTAAAAAATCTGATACTAAAATATTTGCCATGGACTGTATACTTCTTAAGTTCCGACAATGAACCTAGGTTTGCTCATATCTTGCGAAAAAAATCTTTTTACTTTTTTAGTACGCTTTCTGTATAAAATGTCGATAGCTACAGTTGAGAGCATATTTACCTTTTTTTTACAAATATGGAGCTATTTTCATTGGACGTAAACCTCTAGGAAGTTATAGCCCTGGGCGTTGAAAGTTTCAAAGAACGAAGAGAGTCAGAAAATAGAACATATGAAGGAGAAGTTTATTTGCAAAATTGCCTTCGTGTGGTGTTGGAGTACCAGGCTGATGGACTGCTGGAAGATATCAATTTTCCAAAAGTCTGTTACTAAAACTCCTTTTGTGATTCCAACTTCACTTCAGCAGATCTTCTATCATAGTATTTGATGTGTAAATGGTGTCAGCAATAATACGGCGCACTATTTATCGGACATTTGGCACATGGTGCAGCGTTCCAAGATGGATAAAATAAGGTAACGCCAAATAACTTGTAAATGAACTGAATTCTTCTCCGTAGACGTCTGGCTCGAAAAAAATATACATTGCAATCGCCGCTGATGAAGCGTTTGATTTCACATACTCAACTTCAAATGTCAAATTCTCGCCATCTAGTGCGCCGCATTTGCTGACTTGTTTTGAACAAGTTTGAATGTTGGGTATACCTCTGCTTTTGTGACGTCTTGTATATCCAAGAATTTGAAAAAAGTTGATATAAAATTACTATTATAAATTATCTGTCAATCATCACCCTTAGTATAATCATCCTCCTACCCGAGAATCTAGAACTAGCTAGAATAACCAGCTAAGTACAGGCTGCGCGTGGACATCATTTTATGGAATCACGGTCACTAGGCGACTGGCTGACGATTCGCATTGTCGTCAATCCGTCGTCAATTCGATCGATCTCAGCACAAACGTCCTTAGTGGGTCATCCACTCCAACATTCATGCTACTGTACATAGTTCTACTCAGTTTACTACCACCGGTTGATCTACAATTGTACACTCCTTGCAATGGTGCGTGTCTTGAGCATTACAAAAATTAAAAAAAAATTTTTTTGCGAATTTTCTTGAAAACTTGAAAGATTGGATTGTTGAGATAAAATAAGGAGTTTGCCTTTTCCATAGAGTCCAATATTGGCCTTCTTCTGCTTACTGCTTTGCAAATCTGAGTAAAAAATTAAAATAATAGATGTGGAAAGCCTCGAGTGAAATTTTATTTAGGAAAATCAGCGATTGGAGGGATTTGTGACGTAAATGCCGACTGCGAACATAAGGTAAGTTTTCCCAGTGTTTTTATCATTATTATAACCTTTTACTATTCATTACTAAATTGAAGTTTTCCGATTACTTCCTATGCCAGTTGTTCCTCTTTTGTGTTCGCAATTCTCATCAACTTGTAGATCTTGCAAATAGAGTCGGAAAAGTTAAGTGCAGATCATCTTAGGTCTAACAAGAAACCAGCTTTGGATGTCTACTGGATATTTCTGAATTGCTCTGAATTCTGCTGTCAAATCCCTTATGGTACTCCATAACATATTCGACTGCCCTATTACGTCTCAAAAACTCTATCAAAGTTTTTTTCAGACAAATAGTCTGTAGTTTTTGACTCCGGAATAATCAATAAATTCCTACCGTCTGGAAAGGAAATCAAGAAATTAGATAAGTAGAAGGTTATCTACAGACCATACTGATCAGTAATCACCGATGACTCAAAATATCGGCCGATTTTGCTTCCACTTCCTACTTCTTCTCTACTTTCTATTTATAAATCTCCTTAGTGTATAGCATTCGTTTTTATTGAATACTATAATAGTAAATTTAGTTTACGATTCAAAAATGGTTGAGTTTCAGATGTTGGTTCAAAAATGATAGCAAGAGCGATTTTTGAAAGACGACAGTCAAAGTGCTCTCCATCAATTTTTTGCAAAAATTTCTACGAACTTCCAATGATTTCTACCGCTTACTTGGAGAAGATAATTTTTGTCACCATTTTGTGCCAAATGCAAAAATCTCCGAAGACAAGTCCAAAAGGTATCGTAATCAATCGAGCAGATCCTATATTTTCAATATCGTATTTGCTTGCGTACCTTGTTAAGAGATTGCTAGTCCATGTTTTCCTTTGTGACTCTTTTATATACTATACTATGAAAGACTTCTTAAACTATCATTTTGCAAGCTTTTCTGAACTTTCGAACATGGAATATTATTGCAAAAAATACTAGTTATACAAAAAAATACTATTCGTATACATATTGCTCAACAGAATAACTTGCATCTATCGAGCTTACTCCGATTTTTCCCATTGTTTCTGAAAAGCCCAAGATTTTACACTTGAGAGAAGGAATGAAACGGTGGTAGATTATGATGCAGTCAGGGCCCGGCGGGGGTGGCGCTTTCACAAGCTGGATATCGTTTTCGGCCCGAAAAAGCAAAGGGGAAGTCGTATTTTGGGGTCCGGGCCGCAGGCGGGAATTTAAATCGCAATTCTTGTAAGAGGAAAATAACAAAATAGGCTCGTTTTCAATGCACAAGTAACGATATGGCACCAAATTTGCTGTATAGTTGGAGGACCATGAGCACAAAAAAAGTATGAAGAATTATGAGAAACTTATGTGAATTTAAAAAATGGTAAGTGTTTTCGAAATTAGGTGGCTTCCGCGCCACCTGGGAGCAACCTGGGGTGGCTCCCTGCTTCCCTTCACATAATTTTTTCATTTTTTTTTCAAATCCGCTTCCAAAACCACCAAGGCACCGCTTCGATACAGCCCCAAATAGGGTTCACAGCGTTATGATCGGCCTCGGAAAGCGCGCTCCAATCGCAATCGGCTATTGTAAATTGTAAAGTTTCGCAGCTGACTAATAAATGAGTAGTATCTTAGATATATAAACGTCAAAGTCTGTGCAAATCTTGACCCTATGTTTTTTATAGATTCCCTTGCGGATGAACCCATTGAGCTGAAACCTTGAAAACATATGTTTTCGACTTCGGTAGATGGTTTTAAGCTACCCTTCGAAGCAATTCGTGGAATTCTTCTATCGATTTAATGATTTTTGGCACCTTGCAAGGAAAGTGAACACTTACCAGCCGCTAACAAACTGCTTGCACATTTTGTTGTGAACAATGCAGTGAAGTTCATTTCCACTTTAAAATTAGAAGGTGCAGTCACTCCAATAAGCCTTTCTGGGGTAAGCTCGTGCAGGAAGGTAAGGGGAGGGCTGCAGTGCAGTATTGATACTGCAGAAAAGGGTGGAGAATATGGCCCAAAAGGACGGGAAGGTAGAAGGACAAAGTGTGGTTTTTGGCCATCCCCTCAAAAGATGACCCGGGCTGGACCAGGAAAGCCAGTTAGTACTACTATAATAAGCGCTGAGGCCGCCCATCTTATTATTTGTGTATATCTGTTTGTCAGGGACTTACGGGGGTCAAAAATAGGGTCAAAGGGGAAGTCGTAAGAAATTTTGGCTTCAAAGGGGATATCGTTTTCAAAATTCTGAAATGCCACCTCCTGCCGGGCCCTGGATGCAGTATCCGATGTTTCTGACAGTGATTTCTCTCAAACCTCTATAAATCCTATAAAAGACAGTTTCAGGTCATAAAATCTTTATTCCTGCTTTTGTGGAAGACTTAATTTTTAAAGATTGTCTGATTGCTTATTTTTTCCCACTAATTCAAAGCGTTGCAAGTTTAGGGCTCCATTTGTCTACGTAATCGTTGTCGTTGTCATCCACACTACATAGAAGCAAGTGATGAAAAAAGTCGAAACACACGATGTGTGCCTCGTAAGTCTCAATTGCCCTTACATGGACTAAAATGCAAAAAACCCCCTACTTTCAGTTCCTGCTAAAGTTGGTGCACCGTGCACCAATAAATGTCGTGAGCCATTATTTTGCAGAAACGGTGAATGTCAGTGTGTTCAACGAGGAACAACACGCATAAGCAATGGAGAATGTGTCACAAGTAAGCGAAAATTTCCAGCTGCAACGAACAGGCTAGAAATTGTATTTACAGGCTCCAGAGTTGGTGATCGTTGTTCAAGGCATTATGACTGCACGTCACCATTCTCTGCGTGTTTAAACTCACAATGTGTTTGCATCTCTGGCACAATCCAGCAGGTAGAGAAAACTCTATCGATATTGTGATTATAAGCCATTTGTATAGCTAGATACTATGTGTAATGCACAGTACGTGCGGCATAACACGACTTGAGTGCTTAGGATTTGCTCATCCGACTTTTTTTGTTTCTCTGTTCATTGTGAGCACAATTAGGTACTTTAGTGGTGTAAGACAATTTTATATAAGGGATTTCCCAGTGAAAAGTAACAAAAAATTGATATATAATAAACGAAAACCAACATATCAAATATTGAATGTTACACTGGAACGTTGTTCCTGAATTTTTCACTGGTCTAATCGTGAAGTATAGCGCACTGTATGCAATCTCACGCAATGAGTTACGAGTCTAATGTAAGTGGGGAAGGGCAGACAGGCGACAATTATGTCAAACGCGAATACACTTGAAGCGCCGCCCATTTGCGCTATCAAATTGTGTGAGACCTGCACTGGCCAATAACGCAGCCCTGCTTTTGCCGCCGGAAATGATGGAGTCCGGTGCAACTATTATGGGCGCGAAATTGGAAATCTCGTTTCCAGCATCACGTGCATAAAAATAATCAAGCCTAAGGGTAAGATAGCATGCGCGCGGAGGAAAAAAATCATTCTCAAGCAATCGCGCATTTAACTTTGAGAAAAAATTGCTAGATATCCGCATTGGTACATTGGTACAGATTTTTTTAGGGTTCTCGCTGCGTAGCAGCGGCAAACTGTCCGCTTGGTGGACTTCCAGGACAGCGATGTGTCATCAAAACTGAGCCAGCTCTGGTCTGTCACTCAACATTGAATTAGTCGCGTCTTTCGTAATCTTGCAGATTTTTTCCAGGCATTCAATCTGCCTTCCGATCAAGATGATTGTCCAGCAGGACAGTATTGTGTAGCCGCTGCCGATTCACCAGTTGGGCATTGTTGTCCGGTTGTATGCCCATTAGCAACACATGTGGACACCCAGTACACATGCGATCCAAATGCTACGCAACCTCTAAAGTGTCCGAGTGACACTCATTTTTGCCACTATCTTTCAGGTATGAGTAGACAGTGCAGGTTGGCCGGATAGTATTAGGTCGTTTCAAAAGTAATTTCGCTTTTTTTCAAACGGGCGCCACATTTGATGGAATAAAGGTTCCCAAGAGATCTTGGAAGTATCCGATGCAGCATTTCATTCTCTTTCTAATGGTTATGAAATTGTTGCAAATCAGTCAATGAGCTTTCAGAAAATAACCATAATCTGCGACCCATGCTTTTTGAGATGGTCAAGTTTCACGATCTTTTAAAACTTTCATATCAATCCTCAGAAGGAGTTCAAGTAACGATTCGATAGAGTAAACCTTACAGAATACAGTAATACTTTTCTCTCTTTCTTGTAACTCGCCGTAATTTTTTAAAAGATTTTTTAACAGAACCATCGGATTTGAGTAGGCCCACCTCAGCCACACTCACATCAAACATCATAATTTTTCGGAATTTGAGACTACCAAGATGGTACTATGAGTGAGCATTAAGTTTACAAAGCAAGTGAGGGTTCGAAATATCAAATTTCGAGTTTTTCGGGTACAGCCTGGGGCTCGCCAAAAAAAAAGAGTTATGATGATTTCTCCCCGGAAACTAAACGAATCGGAAACAAAAAACCCCTGTTAGAAAGAGGAAAAAGTGCTGCATCGAATAGTGTGCGAGCTGCTCATCTTTTGATGTTCTACGGGGATTTAGCTGCCTAGGTATGGAAATCGGTAGCATCAGTTAAAATCTGTTCAAAATGTATGACAAGCTACGGAAAGGAGAAAAAAGCAGTACTGTATTCTGTAAGGTCTGCTCTATCGAATCGTTACCTGAACTCCTTCTGAGGATTGATATGAAAATTGTAAAAAATCGTGAAACTTGACCATCTCAGAAAGCATGGGTCGCAGATTTTGGTTATTTTCTGAAAGCTCATTGACTGATTTGCAACAATTTTATGACCATTAGAAAGAGGATGAAATTCTGTATCGAATGCCTCCAAGGGCTCTTAGAAACCTTTGTTCCGTCACATGTGGTGCCCGTTTGAAAAAAGCGAAATTACTTTTAAACGACCTAATAGTTCTAAAATTACTTTTGAAAATTGACTTGCCAGATTTTGGAGTATCAAGGTCCCTAAAAATGCTAACAAGATCTTCGTATGTGCTACTGCTCAAATCATTCAGCTGAGATGAAAAAAAATTGGTTCCTCAGTGCTTCTGCCTCTCACCGAAGGGTGAAGCGTGTCGGGACGCGCATTAACCAATCGCGCAACGCATCCCTATTTTGCAAGCTACTATTGGCTGCCGCGCCTCCTACACCTTTCCAGAGGACAAGACTGGCTAGAGGAGTTGAGAAAGCTTCTGCAAAGTATTGTGATCACGCTTTTGCAATAGCGTAATTTGATTTACATTACGATACCGAAACTTGAATATAAAATATTTTGTCTGCACACGCTACTCAATTAAGAATTTTTGTTTTGGAAAAAAAAACTGCCACTTTGTCTTCCAAGTTCGATGAGAATGCGCCAGTTACATTATATAGTTTCTGCCAATTTTTCTCATACTTCAAACACGGGATCTGATTAGCTCCAATTTCAGTATGGGATAAGTTTTTCTCTATTGTCGCTTACAGATGGTCTCGTCTCTCAAGCTGTTTGTTGTCGCCGACCGTGCAATGCATTAGCTCCAAATGCTCTGTATGCCAATAATCAGGTACATTTTTAAATTTATTTTAGGCAAATTTTCTTCATAATATTTGAGTAAAGAATTTTTTTCACATGGATAGCTCAAAAATTTAGTGCATTCCACGCGGTCAGCTCAATTCAGCTTGTACAACAAACGCTCAGTGTGGTGGAGGTGAAGGAATGGAATGTGTTAAGGTGAATAAGTTCCTGATTAGAACGTGTGTTTTCTATTAAAAAAAACCTCCTGCAAAAAATCTGAAATATTACCGGTGCAAAAGTCATTGCTTTCGACAGAACGGTTGAAACGCAAAACTTCTCCCCGGCCGGGAATTGAACCCGGGTCTCGCATGTGACAGACGCGGATACTCACCACTATACTACCGAGGATCCATCGTTGGAACCCCTAAAAATGCTCAGGAAGTTGGCTGAAGCTTTTTAAACAATCCCCCTGGCGAATTCACAACATAAACTCCGAATTGGACTAAATTTACATATCAAATTTAACTTAGACTAGCCTTCGTAACTTTTATCACTTTAGGCATCATCATTACTTTTGCACTGTCGTTTAAAAGATGCAGTAAATGAGAACTTACCAAAGTGGAACTGGATGGATTTGCGGGTCTTATTTGTAGACATTTGGCACAAAGTCTGTGGTTTAATTCTGAAAATTTGTAACTTTTCGCTATCTTGACAAATCTGCTCTTCAAATGAGATTTCTGGCTTTCTTACTGCATCTTGGCGAATTTTAACTTTACAATAGTCACGTGATACAAAAGAATGAAGGAAACCACTGAAGCTTCAGTCATATTCATTTGAGACACTAAAAATTCAACAGTTGGCCAAAAGTCGTTAGAACTTCAAACTGTTGTTTCAGTGGCCTACTTTTTTAGACGAAAAGCTTTGTCGTCATCGGCTTCTAACGAAAATTATGATTTTCGCAAGAATTACCTAATTGAATTTGCCAAATTTACACAGAGACAATCAGGCACAAACTTGGCTCAGGCGGGTCACAATTTACAAATGACAATTTTGGGATTTATCACAAACCAGTATTGACCGCCTTTTTCAAAGAATCGCAACTAGAACAATTTTCTTTTTCCCCTTTTATCTCTGCGAAGATTTGAGACTAAAGCCACTAGAATGTCCATGGTTTTTTTCTTTTTAACATCAATATGAAGCATCGTGAATATAGCAGATACTAGATACTACGAACTCATACTGAAGTGACAAAATCTTCGCTCCGAAAAGATTTTGCGAAAAAAGACTTCTTCTACAGTCTCTTCTATTTCTGGATTTCGACATGCTCTGGCCTTCTAATCAATTTTTAGTATTTAAATTACATTGTGCATAATCGATTTGATCTCTTTGAAAAATTGTATTTAGGGTCAGTGTCAGTGCCTATCTGGTTTCCATCCTTCTGTCGATTCGCTCACACATCCTGCAAAAAATCCGTCACAATCTTGCTCAAGAGATTGCGAATCGGAAGCGTTGAGCAAGGATACGAGCTGTATGAAGGTATGTGTTGAGTTAACGAGACGTTAAACGTTTCCATTTTTTTGCGATTTAAGGCTTGTTTCATGAGAGTTGAAAGAATTCATGAGAAATATTTGAATCCTTTTTAAAAACCTCAGAGTCAAATAAAATTGGCTAATATGTGAGCCTAAGGGAGTCATATACGCACTTTTTCCCTAACACATTTAAAATCCCAAATTTCCAAATTTGTGCTATTTGTTCCATAAATCAAGCTCAGGTCAGGAAACATTCTACATATACGGTCTGTGCCAATGACATGTTCGTTTTTCCACAATTGATGGCGCCGCTTGCGAAGCGATGCGTCGCATTCGCGGGCGTATGGCTGAGCGTATTACACACATCTGATCAATTACGCTAATTTGAGATTCAGTATACTGACTCACTATATTATATCTCTACTCCTTTCTCTTTTTTCTCACATATCGAACTGGCATAATTTGGAAATAAATGTCTTGCACTATTACATGCATTGCATCATAGCCGCGGCGCAAGCCTTCGCGACGCGGTTGCGTAGATGCGAAGGGGACTTGTCCTTGGCATAGACTGTACTCGTACTCAGGGAAGAGACAGGCGTCGATAAAAACCTCCATAGAATTTTCATCGAATTCACAAATCGCATGACTCCTTTAGCCTGGCGGTCTCGGAAGTCTTTGTTTCGTACAAAAGCAATGCCCACAAAATTCTGGATGCTATCGTGGACGATGCATGTGCCGATGTGGATATGAGCAAAAGGGTGACAAATGTGTAGCGCTGCCACCTCCACCCACCACTACTCCTCAACCCAACAGTGAGCCTTTTCAAAAAGCTTCTTTCACTTTTTTGGGTACAGAATATAGTCATTTTTTAGTTGCGATCATCCCCGGAGTTGCTGTGCCGCGAAGTAACGATTTATTCAAGCTTTTCGGACAGATATTCGGTGGAAGCGGAGCAAACAACGCTATCGGATCATTCATTAATGGATAAGAATGGTCACTCTCATATTTCCCAGAATCTGGTGGAATGCAAAATCAATAATACGGCTATTTTCTTAACATCCCATAGATGTCATGAAATAGAGCAAATCGAAAATGCTTAAAATGAATAAATCATTGCTATATATCACAATAATTGTGTCTAAATTATTAGGTCGTCAAAGTACTTCCGCTTCTTCAAACAAGGTCCACATTCCGCGGAACAAAGATTTATAAAAATCATTAAATGCAGTTTTTCACGTTCTTTCAAATGATTATCTTTGTACTGCAGCTCAACGAGCAAGCTCTCAAAAAAATGACCAAAAATCGAAATCATGATCTCTACCAGGGCCCGGCACGAGGTGGGAAAACGGGGTTTTCCAAAACGAATTCCCCTTTGATCCCAATAAATTTTACGAATACCCCCTTGAGCCCAAAAATGACGTTTTGTGCTTGTGCGACGAGATTACCGGCCACACTTCGCCTAAAAGCGCTCAAAAGCGCCCAAATTGCTCAAATTCCTCAAATTACTCCTCAGCTGTATCAAGATAGGAAACAGGAAGAAAAATGATTAAGGAATGAGAAAATATCAAAGAAACGCATAGGAATGAGAGACGCCGTTCCCGCGCGTATCGATTGACTGGGGCGCGCTTTCCATCTTAGAAAGCTAGGCTGCTGATGCGATTTTGGGCTCTAACAAGGACAAGAGGAGGAGCTTCGGAACCAAAATTTCACCATGTAGTAAACTTTAGGTGTACAACAAATTTATGTAAGAATTTTGAAAAAATTATGTGAATTGAGAGTTTTGCCGACCTCAGGTGGGAATTAGGTCGGCAAATGCCGACCTAATTTGGAAATTAGTTAAGCACGCTCTTCATTCACATAAGTTTTTCATAATATTTCATACTTTATTACTTAGTCCTATTGCGCATATACACACCGAATCCCGCGCGATTTCGTTACCTCTGCGTTGCAAACGAGCCATTTTTCCATTTCTTTGGTAGCGCAAAATTTTCAGATAAAAGTTTGCCACAACCTTCAGTCACATAATTTTTCAATGAAACTCCTCAGTTAAGCCCTGCAAGTCCGTGTGCATTTACTTACCAAGTTTCATACCATATCGTTCATCTGCGCGTTTAAACGAGCCGTTTGAATTCACATCTTCATTTACCAGTTTTGCGAAATTCTCGGAAAAAATGCTAATTACTCGTTCCGTTCACATAAGTTTTTCATCCTATGGGTCCACTAGCCTCTCTCCGTTCGCATACAAAATTTGGTGTCATATCGTTACACATACATTGAGAACTAGTCATGTATGCTATTACAAATAGCATCGCTTGGGCGACGTCGCGCGTGCGGCAATTAGCGAGCGCGCGGTTTGACGCGCGCGAACTCCAGTGTTCACCTGTGGAGGCACATAACATGTCAAAAAAGTAGCGAGCATGAACTACCAATTTTTTTCCGGGGCTCCGCCCCGGACCCGGCAAAAACAATTTCCCCTTTGCTTTTTGGCCCCAAAACGATCTCCAGCTTGTCATTTGCCGACCTCGTGCCGGGCCCTGATCTCTACCAAAGTAATTTCGCTTTTTTAAACTTTTGCACTGATCTCCCGAAGACCAAGTAATGGTTACATAGAGCAAACTCTAGAGGATACAAAACATTTGTTTTTCTTCGATAGATTATTTCCAAAATTTTCAAATTATTTTTTTGATGCTATCACATTCCATATTTGGTCAACTTAAAGCTCATAGAACATCAAACGGCGAGCAACTTGGGTGGTATTTGATGCAACATTCTCCCCTCCTTCACACAGATGTTTTTTGCTTCGATTCGTAAAGTCTTGGTGGATAAAATCAACAAAATTCATGTTTTTGAAAGCTCCTCAGCTGTACCCGGGAAGTTCAGAATTTGATATTTCGAGTCCCAAAACGCTTATCTGTTTTGTAAATTAGTGCTGAATCATAAACTACTAACTACTACCACTAACTACCACTTTTGAAAAAATCAAAAATCGAAAATTGTGGTGTTTGAGGAATCCGCGCCTGATATAAACCTGCTAAAATTCGATGGTGTTGCTAAAAATTCTGTTAAAAAATTATGGCAGTTTATGGGGAGAAAACAAAATTGTTTCGTACCCTATGGGGTTTGCTCTATCCATCCGTTACTTGGACTTCTTCGGGGATTAGACAAAAGTTTGTAAAAATAACGAAACCGACCTTGGTAAAAACTACGGGTCATGATTTTTGGTAATTTTCAAAGAGCTCGCTCATTGAGCTGCTATATAAAGATAACCACTTGATAGAGCATGAAAAGACGCATCGAATGGTATAGGCGTTTCCCATGCGTATAGCTAGTGAGTCACCTGCGCTGCCGCTTGGGCAGTGCCTTAGTTAGGGCCCCAAATTACTTTCCGCGTAAAATCTCCACAGGCCCAGATTTGTCTGTACGCTGCCTTCAAGATGATGTCACCTCTCATAAGAAATTTCGACCCTCTACCGCGTCGCATATTGTTACTTGCCCGTCAAAATTGCATAAGCAAAAAGCACTACGATGTGGCCGTTGGGTTATGATAGCACCCAGTGCGAGATTCACAACAGAAACACAAATCTTGCATTACCATTGGAGACGTTTCTTCTGGTGAAAGAATTGTACAGCTCGACTGCTATAGTGGCAAAAAAGTAAAACATTATTAACGACAGATAAGTAGTTTTAAAAGCTAGCCATCAACAAATAAAACAAAGCTACAACCTCAGCATTAATGACTAACAATGACGAAATTGTTCACGACACTAAAACAAAAGGTAAAATCAAGCTCCCAAAAAAACCACAAAAAAATCTACTGAAACGACATCGGCATTGAAAGAACATAACAACACGTCTCGCATTAATGTTACCTCAATATCTACCTAACATATGCTTATACATCAATGACCACATCAAATACGGTGAACGTCTTTGCAGAAGAGGATTATAAAGATCGAACTTAGCCTGTAAAAGAAGAAAATTTCGTTTCAAAAAAGTTTGAATAGGACAAACCTTGGTGGTATTCGCGATAATGTAATCAACTACAGAAGCGGGTGCTGCTAAGGCAGGGCACAGTGCTCGTGGTACCAATGGATATAGCTCTCGTGATGCAGACAAATGTGCGCTGGCGGCCTGAAGAAAATAACAGACCAGTTGCACAACCGGTAAATCACATCAGACCCTATTCATAAGCAGCGTCTAAATGTCACCGTAGAAAACCACTTCTGCACAAAAAGATACGTCAAAAACCACAAATCCGCTAAAGGCAATGAGAAAGAAGACAGCGTTGCCTCCCACCTCAAAAGCAGCGTCCAGGCAAGTCTGGACACATGGGGATCTCAGGTGGATAGTGATTTTGGAGCTTAACTAAGCCACTGTCCAACCGGCAGCTCAGGTAGTGCTCAAAAGGCTGAGATATTCCTCTCGAAACTGGACCCCGCGAACGTATTTCGCATGGATTCATGGCGCAAAGCGTGTACCCTGGCGCGAAACTGCCATGAATCCATGTATATACAATCCCGGGGTCCAGTTTCGAGGGGAATATCTCAGCCGTTAGAGCAATACGTGCACTGCCGCTTGGGCAATGGCTCAGTTAAGGCCCCAAAATTACTATCCACGTAAAATCCCCATAGGTCCATATCTGCCTGGACGCTGCCTTTAAGCTAGGCTCATAAAAGCCTGTTGCAATACTTAAAAGTAGCCATGGTTGGGAAAATTCAACCATAACAGGTTCGACATTAAATTAGAAAAAAATCGCGTTCTTCACAGTTAGAGAACGCCCAAATAAAGGAAAAAAACGACGAAGTTACAAAGGCGCGCAGAGACTGACCTGTACCATGTCTCTAACCAATGCAGCAACAGCTTCCGGATTTTTTCTGTTGTAAACTTTATCCAAGGTCAAATCGTGCATTGCAAGGAGATCAGTTGGTAGTAGGATCACTCCACGAGCCATGAGAGGTAGTGACGATCTGTAACTTACTGACTACAGAAAAGAAACTGTGCTGATCATATTAGACTCACCTGATGAGGTTCATAATTCCGTATGCGGCGCCTAATTCATTTGCTGCTTGCACTACCTCTTTGGGAGGTTTTAGTACAGCGCATTCTCTAGCTAATGATTCAGCTTGCAGACAGGTTAGAGCACCTGTGGTGGATTTTCCATAAACTGACAGCTGCAAAAGAAAAGCATAATTATAGGTACTGAAACTCCACCGAACAAAACGAGAGAAAGATACATGCAACGGGACCAAAGTTGAGATACGAACTTACCTCATCCATAGATTTGAAAGGGCGGTCACCGATTGATCGCTGTCGAGCGGTTATCAAGGAATCCAAAAGCGACATCGATGCTTTGGGAGCAAAAGCGCATAGAGCAACAGCTACAGGCTGCCTGCAAAGATGAATTTTCTTCTTCCTCAATCGAGCCAGACGACAAACTGTACATACCTGGGCACAGGCATCGCTGCATTACCGTATATAGACTGTATTGCATCGCGCCAAAACTGCAGACGATACATGCCGGACGTGTCATTTCTGCGTTGAGGATTGATCTTTTCGCGAATCATGGCTAATTCAACGTTGAAAGCAAGTAACTATAATGTGAACACGTGATAGATGCGACATATAAAACAGGTATTAGACTTACAGCTATCACTTCAGGTCTATTCCCTTTAGGCATCGTAAGAACTGCTTGGTAATTATCTTTGTCATGCGCTCGCACTAGCTGAAAAAAGAAAAGACGATCTAAATGCAAATACAGTGCAAACGTGGCTTCCGTTTACTCTTCACTGCACTTCAACAAAACCCTGCTGCATGCTTACGAAAAAAATTAAATCACTGACAAAAAATTGAGATGAAACATCTCTCAAGATAATGAGATATAATATAATAAGATGAAAAATTTCGCGACATGTGGCAACAAAATCAAAACCTTGGTCGGTGAGCATGGTTATTAAAACAAACAAAGAATACGAAGATGGTCTAGCAAGCAGTGTTGAAAACAAGCAAATATGATAGTATGTATGATGATCACTCTATAGAACTCTCACGCGGAGCAACTCTTCTTACCTCTAAACAGTGATCAAAAGCTTCTTGTGCTTGTTTCTTTGTGATTTCCAGACGTCGTGTTGGCTTTGTTGGCGTGGTATTGGGTTTTCTAAAATGATCAGCACTATTTTTTAAGTGGAGTGGTGCAGTACAACCCGCAACAACATCAGATTCTAAAGAATACTGTTTTTTCATCCTCAAGAAAGAATCTAGAAAACATAGTGATATACAGAGAAAAGAGGAAAAGCTTGTGATGTTGTATAATAAGCTAAACGAGTGGCTGAACCTTTGTTGAACCCAATTTTGAGAATTTTAAGGATAACTATAAACTTTCAAAGAAGCAAGCTCATAACTGACTATTCAAATGATTTGAAAAGAGTTAAAGTAAGTTAAGGAAGAACACTGATAGTATCAAAAAGACGAAAGCATAATTTAGGTATCCTCAACAATAGTAAACTTACTTAGCACCAGGTAGCTGAGAGAAGTCCGGAAGAGGAACGGACGAAGACGGAGAAGCAGATGAAGTCGGAGTTTTAGTGGATGGTGTAGCATTTTCGGAGTAAGGCCGTAGTATAATTTGTTGAGGTAATGCGGGGACGGCCATGTTCTTTACACTGCGGTTCAATCGCTTCGAGAAGTTGAAGCCGCCTGAGATGTTCAGTGAGCAATACAGACATCCAGGCATCTACGCCTACGATACCAAAGGTCTTACCTGCGCTACTTCTTCCGTGCGTTGTCGAACTACTGCATGCGCTGGTGACATAGCTTTTCCACGATGTTCGAAGGTGATGAAGGACATGCAGCTCGCAGCCTCGTCCCATGATCGATCACGATTCTAAAAGCCGTCAGTGATTGCAAAAAAAAGTAGAGAACCGAAACGTGACTTATATAGCCCCGCATTTGCAAGCATTTCTTCCAGAAGCATTCACAAAAACACAAAAACTTGCGATGTCTGCGAAACAAAATATCGGACGCATATCATAATGATAAAAGCAATGATCAATCTATGAACAATCATGGATGGATAAGATTAACTCCGTTAGGACTACTATGCACATGGCATCGACACTAATAAAGATGTTCGACAGCAGATGTTTTATCAACATCCAGTCTGCGCAGAAACCAAAAACGAATCGCTATGAAATGATGCACCAAACAAAAGATGAAGAGCACATTTTATAGATGGCATCACACTATCCATAGCGCTAAGATTCGGTGTAAATTTTGACTATTCTTTTACGTTTCTTGAGCTGAAGAATAGCGTACATCAAATATGAAATGGAAATAGCCACTCCGACTGTGGGCGGACGAGCAATGACCGCTAGATTCGCATTCAAAAAAATCGGAAACAAAAAGACCTCTACGAAAGCGAAAAGCACACATTACGACATTTCCAAGGATCACAGGTGTCGAAAACGAATAAGTCAGCCTCATATCATCCAGAAATGCATCAAAAAGCACATCGGAATGTAAAGATAGGACTTATAAAGACTTAAACTCCAGAGCGGACAGTTTCAATGAGGTTTTATATCATAACTACCGAACAACTGCTAAGGCTAAATGCTAAGCCTTTCATGACGCTGCCGCGAAAAGGTCTTCGCACTCTTCATGAATACATCTTGTGGGATGACACACTTGACAGACACTGGAACAACTGCTGCGCACTATCATACTTCATAAAAAACCCGCAAAAAAAGAGACAAGGATGTGGGAAAATTGAAGCGAGTAAGAAATGATTGAAGGCAAAAAAACTCAATAATTAACATGTGTCATCATTCTACTTGGCAGTAAGAAATCTGAACATTTCATTCATTTCACCGTTTTGATCATTCGCTCAGTGTCGACACAGAATATTTTCGCTTTCATCAGTTTTCACGGTTGTAAAAAGTAGGTCAAAAAACCGACGTACTGACGAGTTCAGATTTTTCTGCAGCGTCCAGAATGACGTTACAAGCGGTAAAGAGATAGTTTATTCATGAAGATATGAATCTGCACTGCATCCTCACTTGGTCGACTGATGCATTTGATGTTGAAAATCTACGCGCTGTCATTGACATGTTGGATGGTAATGCTATCACACAAAGGGGAAAAAAAGACTATCAAAAAAAAGATGGAAACTAGTTGAATACGCTCGCACGTGTTTCCCACACATGGATGAAACGCTGCCTAAACTATTGCAAGATGACTGAAAACTAAGCGGTACAGCTTTTGACATAAGTGGTTTGCACCCCCCCCCCCCCCCCTCCCCAATTTATCATCTTTTAAGGCAGCACTGGCTTAATCTTGAGTTTGATTGAGGCTGTTGTTTTTGCTAGGGATTAGGCTCTTTTCTGTAGTCGACGAGGTATTTGACCGGACTTATGTGTCTTCGTCTTTTCAGACTCCGAAGAAGGCGAGTTCGCTGAAACGGTATGTAGTCTGTATCCTATATTATAAAGATCCGTACCAAACTTGGACTACGCTCAAAAAACAACAAGAAGATGGCAAGAAAATTAGGGACAGCCTCATGGATCCGTCATATCGCCGATAAGAACCCAAAAGGTCTGAAAAAGCCCAAAGAAGCCCAAATCGCCAGAAAACAAGTTCTGACACTGAAGTGTGTTGTCTTCGCGACCAAGTCTGCTTCATTTCCGTCGTCTGCACAGCAAAGTAATGTCAGATTTCCATAAAAATTCCAAGCCGGATGAAACAGGGTTCTATGTAACTTAGCAACTGTAGTTTCTAACAAACTACATGGTATTTTAGCTTCTCATGCAGCCCCACTATTGTCTTTGTATTGCTCGTTATCATCTGATTCGTCCTGTTCAGCTCATTGTCTAATTCAAACTTTTCTTTTTTTGAAAATTGATGCTGGAGCCTCACGGCATGGTTGCGTACTCCTGATTATGCTGAAAGTTAAAGCATGTCTGCATTTTGAACATCGTTAGATATTAAGTGCTTCCTCAACGACATCAATGTTATCGATGTTATGCCTTCCGGCTCTTTCTGGCGCTTTTGGGCTCGCGAAGTATGACGGGTCCTAGTGTTGACAACTCCATCTTGAAAAAAAATTTTTTTCATGTATTACTTCATTTTTGGATTTTCACAGCTGAATTCTAAATGAGAGGAGGTAGAGAAGGTGGGAGAGGGGGGGGGGAAGGAAATCAGAATCAATCTCTCACGGCTAGAAGAACAATTTTCAATAAATATTATAAAAAACAAGTAAACCATCGGATTCATCTCTTGAACAAATTACAGCTTCAAATTAACTAATTGTCATGACACCCACCGGATCGCTCTTGATATGCTGGAATGCTCCCGCGACGTGTGTAGCGCCGTAGATTAGCGCAACAAGGGAAATGATCGTTTGGGCCAATACGTCTGCAGGCAGTGAGATAAATGGTTGTTCAGTCAGTCGAAGGTATGAACGATGCTGAATAGATAAATGTCGAACAGTTAGTTTTGACAACTACAACTTATACCTGAGCAGCTGAATAAGCGCAATGAAGAAGGCTAGCAAGTGAAGCGAGTGTGATGACGTTGTAAAGGGTCTTGGACATGGCCACAAAGTGGCTATCTTTTAGCCGACGGTAGCCTACCTATAACAACAAGTGATCTGCTAGACAGACAACTACTTTCCAGTTGGTAAGCGAGTAGTTTAAATGGATAAAAATCTTCTTTATTAGCTGCTCATCTCAATATGGCAATATGGCATTTGTTATAACAAGTAGTCAAGGTGTGAAAGAAACTATGCCTGGATTTTTTTTTTGGCAATGGTTCTACCCGCTGACATTATGTTATTTCACCATGCCTTAGAAAGCACTTTCAAGTGAAGATGAGGAGGATGATGATAATCCCTATACATATGATAGTGCCGGAGTTTGCGGCGATAGCTCACGCAGATGCTAATTTTCCTCAGTTTTCTTCTTCGTTTTTGCCATCATAAGTTATTCGATCAAAAGGATTTTGACAAGTACGCGAGTGATCACGTCTGTTGAATTTGTTTACGACCTTGTGGTGTTCTGCGTGAAAACGTCCGCAGTCGATACGATTCACGTGCGGCAAAGCCCTATACATATATAATCCTTTTCTGAAAGTTTTTCACACTTTTACGTTCTTGAATGGTCAGCTGTGCTAAACAGAAAAAAAAAATACCCTATTCCGCCAGCATACGAATGCAAAAATCGGTTGGTTTTTGCCTTCGCAAGAAAATAGTTTTGCGAAAAGAAAATCAAAGGACTGTCTGGCAGTGACTGGTTATTAATGGAAACAATTCTCACCGACATTAGAAAAGGTGAGAAAGCAATATGGGAAAAGATTCAAATCCAGAGGATGCTCTGATAGTCATAAGACGAGATAAAACTGATTTCACAACTGCGAAAATCTTTGTAGTGAAGCAATAAAACGATTTATTGCAAACGATGAACTCAACCAAGTATGTAACAACAATCAAATCGTAAATTACTCATTATGTACAAAAACGGTCCTATCTAATCCTAAGCTATATTCAGAGCAGCTTCTATCATGAAAATGAAAGTTTATAGAAGAATTAAAGGAATGCATATGACATTTAAAAGAGCTTGGGTTCCATCGCATCTAATGCAAGATTTCGCATGAAATATTTTGAATAACAACACGATCGAAGAATATGGATAGTCAATGATGGGAACATAAATCACAACACTTTCAAACAATGATTTAAGACGACATGCGACCAATTTCCGATACTGATGACTATAACTTGACAGTAAATATCACTTGAATCACGCGAGCAGATATTACATACATCGACAACGATGGACTCAAAAAAAACACTATATAAACATTACTGAAGTTTGAACTTTACAAATCACAAGCAGATGAGGTACCATCCAAGCTTAGGCATCCTTGTCTTCACATTTGACTTCCGACATAAATGCTGTCTTGAAAAGCTTTTCTCGCAAATGTGCCAGCTTCTCCTTTGGCAGCATAGACAGATTTCGAGATCCGAATCGCTGCTCAAGCCTTTCAATTATCCCTCGGCAAGTGTTGATAACCTGAAAAAAAACACTATTGGAGGTGTTCTTCCGAAAAATAAAATATGCACACCGCAATTGGAATTCTGAATTTCTACAAACAATTACTTATGGATTCCAGGAAACCAAAGACTGAAGAAACCTATGACTTATTTGCTAACTCCCATTGAAACTTTGTGGAGCCAGCACTTCCTAAGTCTATAGCGGGCGGCCAGTTCTAGAACTGGCCAGTATAAACCAAATTCCAAATGTGTCGTTATACCTTTCCTCACAAAAGCGCCAGACACAATCCGGCAAATCTCACCCTTAGAACTAAAGGTGAAATCAGGATGACAAACTTTTTCGTTTGGACTCACATTCCACTTAAGGATAAAGGATAAAGGATTCGGCGTCTTCAATACCCTCTGAGGGCATGCGCCGAACACACACACTAACTTCATGTTCGAAGAGGCAATTGTATGCGTGCGAGCTTATTATAGTGACGTGCGGGGGCCAGCCGTTTCCAAGTCAGTGCTTTTTATCCTCCCAGATTACTCTGGTACCAATTTACCGGCCCTGGAGGGTAGAGGGCTTGGTTGGCCCAGGGGCGGGGATCGAACCTGTGTCCGATCTGGTCACAGCGGCGCCTCATACACTACGCCACTCGTCCCCCATTCCACTTTGGCTAGATGTTAAAAAGTGTAATTTCGCTGTAGCTTCCTTGTAAAATGTTTCTACTGCTTTTCTTTTGCTCGGTCCCGCATTAACCACGCAAAAAGAATTCGAGTGCTCTGAGTGCTCTGAGCCAGTAGGAAATGACACTTTCAAAAGGTGAATGGCCCAGACACAAATATGCTTCAGCACCTTTCTAGTCAAGATGAGTTGTTTGTGAAGACAGCCACCAACGGTGTTAGGGGTACTCCCCCAAACACCATTGGTAGCTGTCTTCAATAAAGGCGAAAAGGCGAAAAAGATGTGCAAGCGGTATTGTAGTAATCGATATAGCGCGCAGCTCGATCACGTAAGACTCGGTGCCGCTGTAAACTCATATAAGAGTGGTAGAAAGTCAACAGAGCATGAACACAGATCGGTAACGCACCGATTTTTTGAAGCCTAACAGCATAACCTTCTCGTATACTCCGCTCATCCGCCCGCAGTTGATAACGATGTAGACACTGCGCATGAGATCGGTCATGGGAACATTTAGGGAATCCTATAGATACCAACTATAAAAAAAAACAAAAATGCTTTAATCGACTGACCAGACTCGGACGGTAAACGCATCGTTCATGCATAGCAAACAGCTTGATATGAGAAACGTTTCGGGTATATGTGGTGAGTGTTCGTGTACGACGATCGTAAATACTTTCCTCAATCACCTAAATAATGATGTTGCTATGCCTTATACCAAGCGCGAGAAAAAAATTTGACTCACAGGCACGGTTCGTACCTCCGTCATACGTGATAACCAACGTGGTACTCTTTTAAGAAATGAACTTCCTGAAAGGATTGCATAATTTTATGACTTTTTTTCGTTTTTGCTAGCTATATGTCCAGAAGCAATCTGCTAACGACAAAGAAATTATCTGGGAATATGCAGTGAAACGAAAACAACAAAAACCTTAAAATAAGCAGAAAAAAATATCGGGAAAAGAAGCGTTCCCAGAAAGAAATGCTTACCTTGTTTCACTATGAGTTTCTTCGTAACTATCTTATCTTCTGTAACTATTCTTTCCAGCACATCTTCTGACATGATATGTTTGGCGAAAGAATTTGGATATCTATCCCAAAAGACGGACACCACTTCATCGAAAGAATACGGAAAGAGACCAGTTGGTGCGGACCACAACCGCATATCTGAAATGGAGTAAAAACCAAACTAAACAGTATAAACAAGAACAAGAGCAACGAATAAAAATGTAAGCTAAAAATATTCGACAATGATACGGTGATTGTACGAGCGTCATTCTTCAAGAGAGCGGAAGAGCTGAAACTGGACTGCGAAACTAGTAATGCCGATGGATAGCACGCTATGTGGCCTGGCGCACATCGTAAACATCAACACACTGCATTACTGCTTCCCTGGTCTCAACTCAAGAAAAAGAATTGTTTGTAAGCAGAGGTGATTACAAAGGATTTAAAACAAAAGAATTATTTTCACAAACGTCTTTGGAAGTTTCTAACTTTCGCGGAGAACAAATTTGATGTGACAATTGTTTTAAAATTTTTACAAAAAAGCGTCAAGTGGAGTTACGATAAAGATACTTTACTTTGCAAGAAAGAAAGATGCATAGCTGGCGAACTGTGACTTCAAACCACCTCCTGTTACTCGGAGAAACTAGAGTCTCCTTTGGTCCAAATCTTTATCTTGCTTTACAGTCAGAGACTAAAAGACGATGACAAAATGTTACATCAGTATCAAATAGGAACCATTTTAGAAACTCAAGCCAGGTAAAAAACAGTAAGCTGTGGGCGAAGAGAAAACCAATAGTAATCGGTTGTTGAGACAGTAGATACAAAAAATGACGAGCACAAGCTTTGCTACGAGCAGTAGAGAGAAAGAATGATGATCGGCTTTGCTAAACTATCATAAGATGTAGTTAGAAAAGTGCGAGCTGGCATCTTTTTCTTGCAAGGACGTGCAGAGGATTGGCGATAGAATGTGAACGCAATCAATAAGTGAAAGAAATAAAAATTCACGACATCAACAACCACAAAAAAGTTAGCTTTACAACATTGCAAAGGTGGTTGGATGCGTGGAAGCACAAGAAATTACCGTAACGACAACCCCAAGGTGTGAAGAGAGCTGGAAAAAGATTTCCGCCGTACCGCAGATTCGAATTTGTCAGCCCTCACCGTCGTTTGAAATTCAAGGCCAGATTGGAACATAAAAAAATGAACAAACAAGGTGCCAGTCAAGTGTCAGGGTACGGGTACAAACTCGATTTAAGATTTTGCGCAGACCCGGGCCTATTCGCTGTGCTGAATCCAAAAATCCACACTAGAGAGCTCGAAAACGGCGAAGAAGGGCTCTAACGCAGGAGAGAAACAGCGAATGGGCGCACTGTGAATTCAGTTTACTAGCTTCCGGAGAGATCTTCTCGATTCCGATAGCCGCCCTGACACTGCCACCGGTAAAGTACGAACGATTGACCAGAAACCGGAACCGGGAGATCGCTCCGGACTGAGAGCTGAATCGCAGTGGGGAGGACCACGCCCACCTGCTGATTTCCATTCTGCCTTAATGCTTCTGCCAGCTTCAGCAAAGCGAATAGGCCAGGGTAAGCAGAAAATCTCAAAATCACTTTTTGCCCTAACGCTGCCTTTGAATACTGCGACAAGTGAATTTCGTAAGAGGTGCTTCACTTTTAGCTCGGAAGCACTAAGGCTAGAGGTACAAGCCTGCCCCACATTCGCAAAGCGCATATTTCCTTTGAATTCATTTATGGAGAAGTTCTTGCATTCACGCTACCAAAATGTGCGGGAAAGCGTCGCAGAAACAGCGAACGAGCTTAGTTCATACTGATCTCGAAGTCCGGGAAGTTCCAGCACAGCGCTGGAGTTCCGAACTTCCTCTTAAGTATGAATGCAGCCTTATATTTACTTTATGACACTTGACTCAGTGCAGACAATCAACAAACAGGTAATCAAAAAGCAAGATAACATCTTCGTACGGTGAGTGATGATATAAGTTAGCGTTTTTTGGAAAGAATCACTTGACTACTTGTACGCCTGCTTCTGTAAAGATGATCGGCTTTTCGAAAAAAAAAATTTTTTTGGACGAGATTAAAAAATCGCTTTCTGTTTTAAGTGCCCAACAGATATATGCTAGACGAAAATCAAGACATATGATGTCTTTACCAAACTAACACATTACAATGCTGATTGTTTAAGAAAGGACCAGATAGCGGGAAGTTCCATTGTGAAGTGAAATATATGAGCATGTTGCTGCTGAACAGTGTGACAAAAATAAAGTCATAGGACGATCGAAGGACTGCAACGGAACAAAACATCGTTTATACAAGCACGTGAGCACGAAAATAACTGCAACGATCGTGAGAGCGCTGGACAAAATCAATGAAACAAAAATCAAAAGCAGGCTGCACTGTTGTTGTTTGAGCTTTGTATCGCAAAGCTTTCAAGGCTCAAGCAGAAGGTATTGGATAATTATTGTGGCTACGTTTCCAGCATACTGCGGATGTTCTGCTCCGACAAAACATATCGTGCATCAACCCAGAATTGTCCCCATAGGTACTATCAACGATTATTTTTTGATCATTATGACATGTCAACTTCAAATAAGCGCCTTAAATTTGCTGAAGTTAATCTGCTAAAAGGATTGAAAGGCTGCCACGTTGATGGTCCATAAGGGAACAATTCTGGGAGTGCACCATACATATTACTTCCATATTCATACAAAAACAAAATCTACTAATATTGAACAAGGTCCCCTTCCTCACTTGATCTATTTTTTAGGATATGGCTCTTCTAATGCTTGTCGTTGAAGTCTTTCTACAAAACAAATTATTGGTTTAACACGTTTCGGACCGCGAAATCGCGCGCGGCGAAAAAGAGGGTACTTTCAGCCGTTAGCCAACAAAGGGACTTTAATTCGTAGATTGTGTGCTACATCTGTAATCAGCATGTCAGACAAGATCCATACCCAGAGTTCTGAGTGAATTCGAAATGTTTGAATTTTGTCGTCTGAGAAGGACTTCTGTGCTTTCTTGAAAGATAGGAACAAGAACTCAGTTTGTAAATGTATCCAAAAGTATCTATGTTGTATAAGATACACATCAGTATTGGAAGCACGGTTTTTCTCTTTGTATTCGAAGCTAAGAAAAGTTACGACGTCGCACGCGTCGTTCGCGTTGCCGCACTTCGTTGCAACTGATGTTCGATTTGTTCTCATATCCCTCAACAGATATCGATGGCACAGCTCTACAGACCCTTTCGAAAAGGAGGAGCTTAGGCCTTTGACTTGATAATCTTAGACAAAAAGAAAACCTTCTCAAACGCTGAAAAGATCTTTCAAAGGCGCGTGCTGCACCGTGTGCAGCACCGGTCCGAAACGTGTTAAGATATAGATGAATTTAGGACATGGCTCTTCTAATGCTTGTCGTTGAAGTCTTTCTACAAAACAAATTATTGGTTTATATAGATGACTTACGAAGAATGTCAGGAAATGAGATATATCTCATTTATAAAAGAAGTTTTCCCTTCCATTTAGACATTTGTCGTCTTTCAGTTTCATGAATGCACTTGATGAGGGAAATAGTTTCGAGAAATGAGCGTCAAACTGTAACTGAGCTTCACATACATAAGAGAGCGCGTTTCGTGTTTATATTTCTACAAAGATCTGATTGAGCTTTTTCACAGCCTACGCCACGAAGTGCATAAAAAGTGACCAACAAGCCGAGAGGAGTAACAGCGAATTCTGGAACGGCACCATGCTGACCGAACGAAATGAAAGTTCACAACACGTCGACAAGCAAAAAACAAAGAAGAAATAAAAAGTTTCTCGGGATACTGCTTCCGAATGAAAGAAATCCAATGATGCACCAAAATGTGATTGGGTCGCGTTTGTTGAGCGCACCACAAATTTGGAATTTTCAACTCAGTACTGCGTTGGGATTACTTAGTACTATCTTCTGAACCAGAGATAAGAAGAATTAAATCCAACTAGAACACAGACACAGAGAGATTCGACCACACAGCAGTCTAGAACATCCGACGTAAACAAGATCGTTGACCATCAGCTGACGAAACGTCATTGCGCCGTCGTGCATGCTTGATGACCAAAGATCGATGCGTCGGGGTAAATATTGCGATATCGAAGGCGGGAAATAAGCTATTCAAGCTAAAGTTCTAAAAAATCGCTTGCGAACCATAGAAACGATTTTCAACTTCCCCTCCACCATCAATTTGAGGCCTGTGCAGAACAGCTTCACGTGACTTTCAGTTCCTTAAAGGCACCGTCCACCCAAATTGGGGTTGGTGAGATTATGATACCTAGCAGGTGCAGGGCCCCCAACTGTATGATTGCCCAACTCGCGCTGCCTGAAGTTGCTTCTGAACCGAGAAAATTGCTTCGGAAATCGCTTCAGGCCGCGTTCGCGACGCTGGCTCCTCCCCTTTCGGAGTGGGCGTGACGTTCGTTCCGCCCATCCGTGCGCGTCCAACCAATCACCGTACCGAAGAAATCGCTCTGTGGGTTCTGAAAACGGGGATTTTTCGTGGTTTTCGCGGATTTTTAACTTAATATTCGGAATCAGGGGTATGAGAAGGCCCTGGAACGGCAAAAACATGGAAGTCGAAATTTCGGGTGGACGGTGCCTTTAATTTCCACAGAATTTGTTATACTTACTTAGATACTTAGATGGCCCGTCTTCCTTGGCGTGCGGGCCTCAGCACAAAAGTTTCCACTGATCCCTGCCCTTCGCGGATATCCACGATCTTCTTAGTTGTCGTCGGTGGGGCATCCATGAGTTCCAGGGGCGAAATTCGTATCCAGCTGATTTCTCAGCTGGTCCATCCGTTCCACGAACACATCTGCCCATCTCGTTGGAGGTCTTCGTCGGGGACGTTTTGCTTCGCGAGGAATCCACTCAGATGTTCTTAATGTCCATCTGTCGTCTGTTCTTCTCATGATGTGACCTGCCCATCGGTGTTTCGCTTTCGCAACGTATTCCGCTGGATCACGAAGAGGAGACATTCTTCTCATATCTGTACTGCGAAGTCCGACTGGATGTTGCTTGTGTCGGGTCATCTTCAGAAGACTGTGCTCGAGCGCTCTGTGGGTGGTCCGTAAGGCTTCATACATACCTGACGATGGAGGTATAGCGGGTATTGGCGAATCGCT